CCCCAAAACCCCAAAACCCCAAAACCCCAAAACCCCAAAACCCCATTTAGAGAGAAAGAACTTGGTCTTAATAATCAATTTGCAATAAATGGAGTAAGCTTCTTCATTTTTCGTTATAATAATTTCGTTGTGAACTAGAACTCATGCCGGTTTAGATACGTTGACAATGTATGCGACCTTTTTGAAAAGGTAAAATCAGACCAAATGGATCAAGTTAATGATCCATGGCAAGAACTCTTTGAGTCGGAAGATATAACAGGTGAAAGAAACTTTGTGCCACAGGACGAAGAAAATGAGAGTCAGTCTGAGAGATCGACTAAGAGCAGAGAGCATTCTTCTGATCCTTTGGAGATTTTGGAGAAGATTGAGAAGCCAGATCTGTTTGAAATCCAAAATTTGGAACAATATGAAGGAAGTTATTCTGAGTTGCTTCTCGAGGACTTTAAGGAAGAGTGCCAAGAAGAGCTTGAGTTAAACATCGAAAAGTCCTTAGAACCCTCATCAAGATTCGAAAGTCAAAATCCATCAGAAGAAGATCATGAGTCATCTCAGAACGAAGAAGAATCCTCCAAAGAGAATCCTACTGCAAGAAAGGGGGCTTTCTCAGAGAACTTCTATCGTGATGACAAGTTGTCAAAAGCTTCTGTTAGAGGCATCAATCATGTTCTCAAGGTCTTCTTCGATAATGAAGTCAAAATATACAAAAAGCAGACCAAGATTAACCTTAAGAAGAATAGCTATCAATTTTACCAATGGTTCTGCATCTGGATTGAAAAATTTAGACAATATTTCCTGCAAGAATATAATATTGAGCTTACTTATGACATTAAACTAAAAATTTTCTCAGTTGTTGCATATCTTCTCAGAGTAAAAACATTCAAAAGCTTCATCCAAGCTGGCTTTGAAGGAGCTCAGAAGAGGAGAATTCTCAAAGAAAACGAAAAGTACAAAAAGTTCAATGACCCTAAAAATGGAACTAGCTACGATAGAATTTTTGCTTTAAACCATCCTGCTGTAAAGCTCGGAAAGATCATAATTGCAACTGAAGATAATCTTCTTGAAAGCTTCTGGAAGAAATTATTGACAAGAAGAGGCACAACAGTTCCCAATGTGAATAAATACAAGAGAAAGATCGCCCAAAAGCTCGAACTTGAGTTATAAGTTCTTTGATAAACCATTCCCCAAATCGCATAAATTTTTGACATCTTAATGTCCTTCAATTAGGTATTTTTAGAAGAAACTTTATTAGTATATCTTCTCTGAAATAATTTTCAAGTCTGCTAAGTACTTAGAGTCGCTAGGAGTAGTCTAGAGGCTGAGCTTCTCATAGTTTTAAACAAAGAAGCTTGCAAAAATATCCTACAATTTCTTAATTATAGCTACTTCTGGGTGTATTACAAAGATTTTGAAATTATCAGAAACTAATAATATAACAATTTGATTATAATTCAAGCGGAAGTTTTTCGTTTATCAATAAGTGAGTGTTATAAAGGGGTTTTGGGGTTTTGGGGTTTTGGGGTTTTGGGGTTTTGGGGTTTTGGGG